TACATTTCAAAACTCGTACGTACGCCACTGGCAGAGAAAATTAAGAAAATTGTACATCAGAAAATGCGGCTTGAGGCATGGAACATATGTACCAAATATGCCAAAGATGTCAACAAAATTATCTCAGTTATTATTAAAAAACTGATTATTTTTGAAAACTTTGCCACCCTGTATCTCAAAAGTTAAGGCGTTCAGGAGATACGTCCATAGGACGTTTTTTCCTTAAAATGGGTCTAAGAATTACCTCCTTAAATATTAGCATGTGTTCAAGGAACACCCTGTATTTGTGTAATCTGGAAAGCTACAATTTTGAAGAATTTAATTCATTCGGTGAAGAGAAATGCCGTTTTAATAATCTTTCAACATTCAGGGAAAGGACTCCATTTATTTGTTTTTTCAAATACAAAGTTTCAACTAATCGAATTAACTTGACCCTTCACCTGTAGACTAACCCCGATAGTCCAACCCTAATCTATAATGGCTTGCAGTATCACTTGAGCTCAACCAAATTAATTCAATATCAGCGTCCTACAAGTTATATTGGCGGACCAAGAAGGAGTTAGGTTTGTTCACTAGTAAATTACAGGGACGCTAATAAGGGTTGTTGGCGGCTCACCTAGAGCAAATCCGTCTTTGGTCCACTGCACTTGACCCGCTAGATTGGCCACTTCGCACTCCAACATGGCCTCTCCGCCCTCGTGGATCTTGACATCTTTCGGTAACAAACGGAAGTACTGCTGCTGGGCTTGAGATGCATAAACGACGGCCAGGAAATACACTGGAAAAGAAAAATATTGTCAATATTTCAAGATCCTAGTGGATGGAATTTTGCATATGGAGTTAAAAAGGTGATAACCCTGTGTATATTATTTCCGGTGAATGATTCGGAACAGTTGAAAACAACAATAATGTTGATAATAATTATAATTTATTATTCAAAACATAATCTTATTGAAAATTCATAAAACTGAACAAAATGAAGCAATGGGTGAATTCAACCCAATACGCTGACATTATGAACGCAATTATGAACGAACTGAGTGTTTTTTCTTATAATGTTATCCGTATTTGCTACTGAAGAGGCGATAAGGCAAGTGTCTTACGGCGAAACTTCAGATGGTAAGCAGTGAGGATGACAGTGTTCCACGTAAGTGAAATTTTACTCTTTTCATTAATTATATTGTGTAGGAATCCTGTGAAATATATCTGATTCGATCCCATTACGAATGTTTGGAATACAAACGGAATGGAGAAAAGTGTTTTTCGAATAATTCAGCGTTCCTATAAAAGTATTTGTTTGGAAAGTATTTTTCTTCAGTGTAATTCAATGTTTATATGAAAATAGCTGTTTCAAATGCGTTTTTTCCAGTTTGTGCCTAAAAGTTACTTTTTGGCATGATGTACACTTTATGTATAGTTATCCCACATTTTTTCAATCAAGATGGAGAAGCAGAAAGCCAAAAACTTTCTTTTCCAAAAATTAATCTCTCCTAAAAATATACCCTTTCAATTTAAAAAACAGAATAAATTTCATTGATAAACATGTGTACATTATAACAAATAATATAAGGGATTTCTATACCCAATGCATAAATGAAACATTTTAAAGCTCAAATAACGGTAATTTTTTAAAAGGTATAGGATTTGATTTTCAAAACAACACAAAAATTAAAAAAAAAATTGATAAAATCTTTATTCAAACCGATAGAACGATCAATATAATTCGATGTTTGAAGATGATTTCATGCAAATGTCCGCGGCTTCGCTTTAGATGCCCATGCGCAAGGTCCAATCCAGCTGTTGCTGGTTCATTCCTGTGGAGACGGGCCTTAACATGACCCTACAAGAAATAATCCAAAGGCGTTAAATCAGACGATCTAGGCGGCCAATTGACGGGACCCAAACGTGAGATAAACTGTTCACCGAAGGCGGCTCTTAATTGGGCCATTGTTTCGCGTGCCGTGTGGCACAAACCACACCACACCAAACAGTGACTTTTTCGGGATGGATCGGTAGCTCTTGCAATGCTTGTGGCTGGTCTTCACTCCAGATGCTTGGTAACGTATCCATTCAACCAGAAATGAGCCTCGTCGCTGAACACTCTTTTTTGATAAAAATGTGAATCTTCCTCCAACTTTTCCAGCGCCCATTCACCAAATGTCAGACGTTGTGGGGGGTCGTGTGGCTTCAATTCTTGCACCAGCTGTATCTCATAAGATTTTACACCCAAATCCTTTCGAAAAATTTTCCACGTAGTGGAGTAACAGAGGCCCAATTGATGCGAACGGCGACGAATCAATGTTTCACGGTCATCACGAACACTGGCGGATACAGCTGCAATATTTTCTTCGGTCCTCACTCTACGTATGCGAGTTGGTGGTTTAATGTCCAATAATGTAAAGTGGGTTCGAAATTTAGTCACAAGCTTCCGAATAGCTTCCTCAGTAGGTCGACGAAACTGCCCATAAATTGGAAGAAGTGCACGGTGCACTTTCTTCACCGAGCATGAATTTTGATAATAAAATTCTATAATTTGCAAGCGTTGTGCATTCGTAAGTCGATTCATGGTTAAATTATAGACCAAACTGAACAAGTTTGACAATGACACAAGGCACGATTCACGCGTGATCCGTCATAAACCGTGTTGCTAAAAAGATACCAGAAAAAAAAATCACTCATCAGTATCATTAGAGAGTTCCCCAAACTATAATAAGGTTTATTATTTGATATATTGTTCGTAAGAATGTTATATGTGTGATTGATGATTTGTTTATTTTATGGTAATTCATGAATGGGTTCGAGTTTGAACCCATTACCAAGTATAAAACTCAAGTTTGTTTTATTGATTTTATTCATACGACCGGTTTCGGGTTTGCACTCATTATCAAGTATAAAACTCAAGTTTTATACCTGATAATGAAACTTGAGTTTCATACTTGATAATGGGTTCAAACCCGAAACCGGTCGTGTAAATAAAATCAACTAGTGGTAATTAGACAAAAGTATTTTTATTCATTTCATAAACATAAGAATTTTGTCAAACCTATCGTAGATTGGAACAATGCTATCTGCTAATGAAATACAATTTTTTTTGGGTTCTACATGTCTTGGAAATCTCTGGCAATTTCTCATGATTTTTTGTACACTGACTAGTGATAAAAAAAGAAAATATCAATTTTGAGTAGGTAGATCCTTCTTTTGAATATAATTGATGGGTTTTCAAAAATAATAAAAATAAAATTACTTATTTGAGTTGTTACCTAATATCACTTGTATGAAATTTAAAGAGCCGAACATGACCGATCACAGCACGGGAACTCCCGAATGCAGTTTCGAATGTAGTTTCGGCAGGTTTGCCGCCGAAACCGAAACTAAACCGAAACTCGACCGAAACCGAAACCGAACTTTCTGTCGGACACTAATTATTTGACATAAGATGAAAAAACTACGGTGACTGATTTGTTGATTTTACAGGTAATAATTTTATTATTATCATATTCATGATTACACAGTACAGAATGAAGTAAATCAGTATCAGAATATGTCATACGTAGGTCCCATAAATTAATTTTTTGTTGAATTTCAACATTGTTCATTCTATTTTCATTTATGAATTGGAAATACTGCCTGGAGAATTTCCATTTGGTTTTTACATCTGTTGTTCGAGTCTCTAATGAAATCGCAATAAATGACGAGAAAAATTATGTAAATAATAATAAAATGTCCAAAAGTTCCACTCCCGAATTTATTTACTTTTTTGGTGAACGCGCGGGTTACATTTTGCTCCGGGCTTCAGTTCCGCTATCAAATCTCGGATTTTACGAGCAATATTCTAATCTACGGGGTTTATCAGAGCTGGAGTATAATTGACTTTTATCTCAAAATGTAGTTATACTAAAAGTTATACAAAGTACCTATCCCTCCATATAATTTACGGTTAGTAATAAAATCATGATCAATAAAGCTCGCTTTAAAAATGAATCCCTCGTTAAATCTAAGAAAATTTCAGAGATTATGTTACCACGATGAGATTCTGTTAGTTTTTGTTCCTCTTAAATTAGATTGATATCGGTAAGCCTGCTGTTCGATCGATTGGCGTACCCACTCAAACATTTTTATGTTTTTATTTAATTATCGATTGAACTTCAGAAAGAGTTGAAAAAATCCTGTACAATATTTTTCGAAAAATTGAGTAATTTTTCTTTCACCAAAAAAATAGTCTATGAAGTTTAAAAAAAATTTTTGAGCTCAAGTTTTCCGACCAAAGCTACTAGTTATTGAAAAAATATAGTAGCTTCGTTAGCTTGAAGTCAAAGCAGATGAAAGTTCAAAAAATGCTTATTACAGAAGGATACTAGCACAATTTTATTTTTGATAAGTTTATGTACAGTTTTCTATAGTAGTGACTAATAACTATAAGGATCTATAGTTGGAAAGTTCTCCAGTGTGGATCTACCCTCATAAAGAGGGAAGGCAAATCTCTAGATTCAAAAGATTGCTTGAAGAGTTTTGGTAAAATGATCGAGGCTGAATAGATCGAATTTTCAAATAGTCGAGTGTGTAATATAATCTTAAATGAAAATCAGAAGTATACCTTAGATTTACACAAACTTTATTCAGGAGTTATATTCCGAGTGCACAAAGTTCAGTCGATTGAAATATGTGCAAGTCCATAATTTTTGAAACTTTGCTAAGCAAATCATTTGGGTGTATAAAAATTTAATAAAACCCCGAGACCGTACGTCGAGGGATTTTATTTTTAATTTTTATACACGAAAGCGTTTGCCTGAAGGCCAAATTTTCATATTTTGACAGCTCGATTCTCGATTTTGTTCATTATCACTCACATCAACTCGAGACTGTTACATAATAACTGCGCGGCCAAAATGACTGAAACTTTGGTGAGTAACTGTCAACAGATGAACAACGGAATTCACTAGCTTTAATTTACGAGTGCTGTCATTTTCATGTTGAGTTCGGAAACTTTTCAGACCACCCTCGTATTTATCAATTTTTCAAAGCCACCGAATTATTGTTATGTTTGGAAATTTCTGTAATTTTCTTCGTTTTTTTAGCAGTGTTTTTAAATGGGTCAAAAATTATTCAATAACCATACAAGTACATTTCTTGTAATTTTTTGGCAGTTATGTTCCCAAGAATCTTGATAACATTTTCTCAGTCAGCACCACCGTTTCGTTTCTTCATGTTGAACGCCCATTCTTTGAGTATCAAGGCAATATTCCTTACAGATGTATTCGTTTTCATTCCATAACCCATTTCCTTGCAAAATATCATGAATTGTTTCCAGACTGATTTATGGGTTTTTACTGTATATTTTTTTTGTATCATGGGAGCTGTCTGACTTGCCCATTTAGTCCAAGTCTCCAGAAAATACTGCAGCCTCTTGGGCTTATTGCGTTTATTCTCCCATCTTCTCATGACAACCATTCCATCAGTCTCCTTCCTTGTACTAGTTTGTGCAGGTTCCGTGTTGGATGTTCCTCATATTCTTCTGGGCGTAATTTTGTACGTCCATATATTGCCTGTCTTCTGTCATTCAGTGCCTCACATTCGCATAAGATATGTAGAGCTGTTTCTATCCCTTCGTTGCATAATCTGCAGCTGAGATCTCCGATGTACAGCCCCATTTTATTCAGGTGTCCTCTAAGCGCACAATGACCGGTTAGTAACCCTGTAATTATTTTGAGCCGACCTACTATATTAAAGTAGTTCTTCGGTTCTTTTCTCGGATGGTTCCCTAATGAAGGTTCTACTGTG